CGCATTTTTGGCTCATCTGTTAGGGAAGAGGTGAGGGTGTGAGGGAACATTGGCAGTATTTTTATTTTTAACTTCATGATTTGGACAAGTTTCTCACGTGGGATCTGAATGAAATTCACCATGTGGTGGAGGCTTTTGTTAACACTACATGTAAATAATTTTTCCCCTCCCTTATGTTGATGTTTCTACTTGAAGCAATTGTATGTTCCACTTTGTCTGCTTGGTGTTTATACCAGTGAATGTGCTATGGTATAACATGTAGATTAAGGCCTTGCTTGTTTTAGATATGTTGGATTGTTTTCCTTTCCAAATTTTGAATTTTTTCTGACCATTAAAGAGCCAAATGAGGACACAGTAGAAGGCCCACTTATCTTAAAAGAGTTAAAAGCTATGATAGTATATATATCTAATACACATCCACTACCTTTATGTTCAATACCTGATGCATACTCGTCAGATACTTCCATTACACTAGTAGAAATATGGAAGGTGACCAAAACATGATAAAGATGTACCAGATATTTATATTCTTTTAGGAAGCTCAACATTATATATAATGCATAATTTACAGGTACAAGGTTTGATTTAACATGTCGATACATTATATAATTTGTCCACTCCTTAACTTGGAAATCTTATTCCGAGTTGTTTCTTTTCAACCATTATAGCCTGATAAATTCATGTTACAATATGAAGCATCAAGAATTAAATTTCACTTATATAAAATTTTCTTTTCATAGTATCCATGACGTTTCCATATCCTGAGTTTTCAAATTTTGCCATTGTTATGTAATTATATTGTATCCATATTTACTTATCCATATGAATGAAAGTTAGGTTAACAGGCATGTATAACTGAAAGTTGCCTTTTTGAGCTTTATCAAAAGATGTATTGAGGAGAACAAATAGGCAGAAAAGTTTCAAACTCTCTCACTCCCCCTACTCTATTTTAAAGTTTCCTTTCTTCATTTATGCTTTTCTTCATTTATGCTCTTGGTGAACGCGTCACCCCGGGCCCACAGGCCCGTTGGCGCGTGCAAGCCATGGGACCCACCGAGAACAACTTGATGTTGGCTAAAGTTCACTGCCAAAATGCTAGCACTAGTTGTTCTTAGGTCTTGGACTTCTCTATTTAAGCTACTAACATTTCTTCATACTAGTCCATGTGGAACTAAAGTGGGGGTGTCACAATCACCCCACCTTACAAAGATGACGTCCTCGTTGTCACGACATGACAATTGAATTGACACATCCCAGTGTCACTTGCCAGTTGCCAGGCGATGTGGACTCTAGAGGTGGTCCTACGGGCTCTAGAGGTGGCTCACACCGCATCCACGCGGTGTAGCACTTAGTCCCGTATAGCACTTAGTTCCACACTTCCGACCGGCAATGGTTCTGATACCAATTGTCACGTCCCAGGCTCACGGGTCCGTTGGCGCATGCAAACCGTAGGACCCACCAAGAGCAACTTGATGTTGCCTAAAGTTTACTGTAAAAAATGCTAGCACTAGTTGTTCTTGAGCATTGGGCTTCTCTATTTAAGCCAATAATATTTATTCACACTAGTCCATGTGGGACTAAAGTGGGGGTTCACAGAACGCTCTCCAATCTAACCAATCAGAAGCCGTTATGGAATATCAGATAGATCTCTTGAGTTCATCTAGCCATTATACTGGGCTGTTCTTACGCAATTTCTCTCAGTAAATCATAGAAACTAAAGATGTTCCCCTCCCTCCCTCCCCCCTCCCCCTCTCTCTTTTACTTCCAAGACACCTTTCAACAACTGGATTCCAACCAAACCTGCAGCTCGGAGAGCTCTTCCAAAAACTCCAGCAGGTATATATCCAGCCTCATCAACAATGCATTCTACATAACTTGCCTGCTTCCTTAACGTAGAAATATCTTAAAATTACCCTATTTACTATATTTTCCACCATTATAACCTTAGAAATCTTTGTTTACAGTATATAACATTGAGCACATATCTAATTTTCTCTTGCTATATAGACAACATATCCTATCCTGATTTTTCAAAAATTTCCACATTTGTACACATTTCAAAAACCAACAAACCTGCAGTTCGGCGAGCTCCTCCAAGAACTCGGCGGGCAAATATCCGGCCTGGTTGACAGCCCTGCCCAATCTTAACAAAAGTGGGGCCCAACCTGGTAAAAATCCCCCCAGCTCCGCCGCCCTCTCCCTTCTTCATCTTTTCAAGCACCCTCTCCGATCATCCAGCAACACTTCAGCGCAAACGTCCCCAGCCCCCGTCAATATCTCCAGCGTCCTCAGCACCAACGCTTACTCCAAACCAAAATTAGGCCAAACCCAGACCAAACCCCCCCCCCCCCCCCCCCAAATTTAGCAAAATCTAGGGTTACAAAGTCGCACTCTTTGCTGTCGGGAACCGTACTTCTGAGCGAGACCTCAGGGCTGTAGGCGGAGGCGTTGACCGTGCGCGTGCCAGTGCGCCTCGCCTCGCCCTGCAAATCCTCGGCCCCGATCTCTCGAAAAGATTTGATTGCCACCGGGGGCTCCGCCCGCGGAACTCCATTAGCTCCGCCTCCCGCCGGCGGGGGAGGGAACGGGACTGGGCCGGGCCTCGACGATGGCGGCTCGAGCGAGCCTGGCCTGGGTTTGGGCCTGAAGAGAGAGTTGGGCCGCGGAGTCGAGGAGGAAGAGGGAAGAGAGAGGCGGCGGCGAAGACCATTTCTTGATTTTGTGGACGAATGATAGAGCAGAGAAGTGAAGAGTGTTCGATTTGTCCGTCCGTCCGCGCGCCGAGATTCGTGTGGACGGAGGAGAGAGTGGAGCGACGTGGATCGATCTGGGCCTCCTCCTGATTATGGGCTTTTTCAGTCAAAACGTATCGATATTTCTTACTTGCAGGACTCAAATTTGTCCGGACAAGTGTTTTTCGATAATGATCCCTTAAAACCTTTCATATAGTGAAATTGATGTCTCAGATTATTAGAATTTTTTTTTAAATGCCTAAATTTTCCTTTTAAAAACTATGATTTATATGGAGGAGTATTTTGATTGCCATCCAATTTAAGTCGAAATACGAACTCCTTTCTTTAAACCCATTTAAAATGCTACTAATTAATTAATTAATTAATTATTATTATTATTATTATTTGCTAACTAGAACTTTCATGTCTAGTTTCCCCAGTTTTGCACTTATATACCTTGCTTGTTAGCGCTTATATATCCTGAAAACTTCTAAAGTTGCACTTTTAATACCTTATCATGTTTTGAAAACGTGAGAATTTTGCTCTGAGTTTTACCTCGTGACGCTCAGAAGCTAATTTTGAATATTTTACCCCATTATGTTTTTTGAGTTTACATTTAAGTATACCTTAATTCTATTTTAAACATACTCTAGCTATATTTAAAAATAGAACTATGGTGAATTTACCAGTCAATTCAAAGAGCATTGAGTTCGAAAAAGCACTAAATTTAGCTTGTAAATGTCACATAATAAAAATGAGGGCAATATTCTCACATTTTCATAACATAAGATATTAAGGTGTAACTCTTGCAAAATTCAAGGCATAAGCATAGAGAGAATATTTTCGGAAGGAAAACTACTAAGTCGGGTATCACGAATCCAATATGAGTTAAGAATTTGACAACCTAACAGACGGCTGGTTTGAAATGATTAATATGAATCGGAAGTCTAAATAACAATATAAATGATTATAAACTAATTTCAAAATAAGAAAATAGATTCTTGGTGAGTAACAAAAAGGAAAGAAAGAAAGAAAGGACTTAATGGACCAATATAAAAATAAGGCATTACATAATTTTGCTGCGACAAGTAACCGGTTTTGACATCTTGGACGCATATGGGGTCCGAGGCCGCTATTGAATATCCGTTTATTATGCGGGGATGTGGAGCAGGAGGGACAAGAAAAAAATTTGTGCTCATTTTTCATATTATTTATTTTTCTGTTTATTAATTCATTATGAGAACCATGCAGATTTGATGTTGATAGTTTAAATTGAACTTTACTACGGGGACCCAAAATATGGGACTCCTATTGGATAATGAGTTGGCCATCATTAATGATGATCAACTCATTATCCAATAGGATGGGGACACCTCACTTGTCTCCTCTATTGGTCCAATATTTTGGGTCATTGAGGAATTTTTCGTTTAAATTATCTTGACATAAGGACCAGGTTTACAAAATTCTCCTCAATTTCAAGGTGAGTTGCACTAAAACCTATATTTCAACAAAATTTGACTTTGATACCCCAAATACTTGAAAGTTCGACAAAGACAACAAAGTCTAGCTTTAATGTTCCGAACTTAATTTTTGTTAAATTTGTGCTAAAGCCTGGGGTATCAAAGTTAATTTTTGGTTAAAATTTATGCAGACAATCCTTACGTTTGAGATGGGATCAAATGCTTTTGCGCACAACGGGGTGATGATTTTTGACGTGAAGAGTGGGGTTTTGGTTGACGCAGCCAAGGTGTTTGATAGAATGCGTTGCGTCTCGGAACACCCTGATTCCTGGATCTGATGGATGAAGCATGGGAGTTGTTTGGTGGTACGCCAGAGATGAATGTGGCTTCTGGTAACTGTTTGATTGATGAGGATGTTAAGTGTTGGTCATTGTATATTGCCGGGGGTTTGCTTCAGCGGATGCCCGTAAACGATCAGGTTACGTGGGATGTGGTGATGCGGGTATGCGATAAAATAGATGACTGTGAATGTGATGCTTGATGGGTACTCGAGAGATGCAAGATTCGATGCTTGAATTGGAGATCAAACCCGATAATTCTATCCTTGTGAGCGTGCTTTCTGCGTGTACTGTGTACTAATGTTTTTGAGTTGTACTGTAAATAACCTCAAGTTCTAAAAGAAATTTCTAAACCAAATAATTAAACAGTCCTTTTTTTTCTCTTGTGTGTGTGTGTGTCTTTTAGACACTAGTGTTGCGCATCACGTGTCTCAATTTTGGTTGTTTTACCTAAAGATAGCATATTTCAAGAAAACCTGTAAATATTATCTACATGTGTCTAATCTGAATGCCTCTACTAGCTAGGAAATCCAAAGTGAACATATTTCTTTTTGCAAAATCCCATTATCTTCAAGTGTATTGCTAACTCAATATCTTCCTATAAGGCCAGCAACTTGCTTGAGAACTCAAAGAGATTAACATGAGAGCGGAAGCTATACCTTAATTCGTGATGATATGCACGGATCTGAAACTTGGGTTTTTGATCTTCTAATCTTGAGGGTTCTCTCTTGAGAATTCTCTTTAGATGGGAATAAGAGAATGAGAACTCAACCCTAATATTAGGGACCATAACCCCTTTATATAGACTTGCAGTTTTCTAATTTAGCCCATCATTAAATTAGAATCGCAATATGGTATCTGCACAATTAGCCCATGACATATATAAATACTCATTGACCCAATTACTCGATTGATCACTTTATGTGAGTCAACTGCAAAGATAGCAACACATACTGATGTAACATATGTGCCCACAAATAGATTTAATTCGATTTAAATCGAACAATCTCCCACTTGGACACTATATGTTTCATTAAAATGTGTACAACCTTACGAGCTCAGAATTGCTATCACAAATAAGGGTATTTCCAAACAATCTTGTCCATTGACAATATCAATATATGATCAAAGCGGCATTCGTCACATTTATCGTGACTAAACTCATCAATAGTCACATATACCAATACAATCAAATGGCATAGATCAATCATGGATGTGCAACATGAAAATTGCATACAATGTGATCAGTACATTTCTATTTTCAACTGGTCCTACCTTAAACTTTAGTGAGGTCAAAACCAAACATAATGTAACAGAGTGTCTTAACTAAATACCTTATTCTGATCAGACAATATAACCAGACATAAAGCACCACAATCACAAACTCCCACTAAATCATGATATCCTCAAATAATGCCACACTCATATAAGCAATATGCTCATGAAAGACCTTAGGTGGCAATCCTTTAGTAAGAGGATCAGTTATCATGGAGTTTGTCCCAATGTACTCTATGAATATATGTCCACTCTGGACCCTTTCTTCCATAACTAGGAGCTTAATGTCAATATGTTTTGACTTAATTAAGCTTCTGTTATTATTAGAATTCATAACTATGGATTTATTATCACAATATAACCTTAGTGGTCTTTCAATATTTTTTAGAATATGCAATCTCCTGATAAAAAATTTCACAGACATATTACCTGATTGGATGTCTCATAGCAAGCTACAAACTCTGCTACCACAGTGGATGAAGCTACAAGTATCGGATTGATACTTTTCCATGATATAGCTCCTCCTGCTAACATATAAATGTAGTCTGATGTAGACTTTCTGCTATCTTGGCATCCAACAAAATCATAATCATAGTACCCAATGACCTCCAACTGTTCTGTTTTTCTGTATGTGAGCATATAATTTTTTGTTTTCTGAAGATACCTCATAACCCTTTTGACTGCTATCCGTACCAGGGTTACTTAAGTATCTGTCTAACATACCAATAATGTATGCAATATCTGGACGCGTACACACCTGAGCATACATTAGACTTCCTACAGTCGAAGCATAAGAAATCTTCTGTATTTCCTGAATTTTAATGTTACCTTTAGGGCACTGATTGAGACTATACTTGTCTCCTTTAGCAACATGGGTATCTCCTGGTCTGCAATCTTGCATGCCAAATCTTTAGAGTACTTTATCGATATAGCTCTTTTATGATAATCCAAATATACCTCGAGAATAATCTCGATGTATCTGGATTCCTAATATAAAAGAGGCGTCCCCAAGATCTTTCATCTCAAATTGTTTGAAAGAAATCTCTTGGTTTTGTGCAACATGCATATATCATTGGTGACAAGCAATATGTCATTCGACATACATAACCAGAAAGGTATATTTACTCCCACTGAACTTGTGATATACACAATCATCAACAATGTTCATCTCAAAACCAAACGAGATAATTATTTGTTAAAACTTGTAATACCATTTACGAGGAACTTGCTTGAGCCCATAGATGGATTTCCTTAATTTGCAAACCATATTCTTTGGGTCTCCTGACACAAAGTTTTCTGATTGCACCATGTAAATCATCTCATCAATGTCACCATTAAGAAATGCAGTCTTAACATCCATCTGATGTAACTCAAGATCAAAATGAGAAACAAGCGTCATGATTGTTCTAAAAGAGTCTTTTGATAAAACCGGAGAGAAAGTCTCTGTATAATCAATGCTTTCCTTTTGAATAAAGATTTTAGCTACAA